ATTTGCTATAATACAGTACATCTTGATGTCATCTGTGAACGTGTGCAGCTCTAATTTGTAATCTGTTTTTCTTGGCTGGCTTGAAATAAATTATTTCAACTGAATATTCCATTTCAGAAAGGCTCAGTAAATTTTATTCTTTACTCAGTGTAAATATTAATATGAAATGCAAAATTGCTACTGTTCTCAGTCATTTGACAATGGTTGTATTTCTACTGATTCAAAGCCATTGAGATGAAGATATCTTTTCTTATTGTTGCCCCTCAGGACATGGGATACCACCCAGCATTCCTGGATTTTAGGCCCTGCTGAAGAAAATGAGAAAAAGTTCTATTATTTTCTGTTATCATGATGGAACATAGATTGTGCTGTCACCTTCTGGATAGAATGACAACCCACCAGCCTTGTTCCCAACTTTTGCAGCTCTGTAGTTGGTTAGCAATAATCTTAAGAACTGTGAGGCTATCCCAAAATTGGAACTAGGACATGTTCAGTAGTACAGTGCCTGTGCTGAGCAAAAATTTAGGATACCTTTGACTCCTTCAGATCCTGAAATTAATCCTGCATGGCTTTTTATTGCTATTGTACTAGGAGATATATAAGATTAGAGTTGAAAATATGGAAAATAGATTTGGATAGATTGTTCCTCCTTGAAATATCTCCTGTATGTTACATACAGAAGCCAATTCAAGTGATAACTCTTCAGTTCAGGAGATGAAACTGCCCCTCTACTTCATCTGAGGACAATAAGACAGCTTAGGTCATGCAGAGAAAATGGCAAGGCACCTAAACCATTGTCCTACAACATCTCACTGCTTGACCCTTTCACATTGAAACATTTAACATTACCTTACAACAGCAACTTCTAACATTTCCTAACTCAGGATGTTGAATGTTATATTAGCATTTTGGTGGGGAGGTATACACACATTGATTTAATGGAGCTGCTAGGGTAAACTTACAAAGCACAGAGAAAAGTGATAATAGTGTTCCATGGCTACATGGAAGCAAGGAAGAGAAGGAGATAATCAAGATTTTGCTCATTGCAAGACAGATAAAAACCTGTAAGTAAGTACAAGACAGTGGATGACAGTGGCAGTGGTTAGGGTGACAGGTCTTCCTAAAATACTTTGCCTAGGACTCTCTCAATCTTAATGATGCCATGATATATCTCTAAACATTGCCATCAATGTTTAGGACTATATCACGGCCAGAAGAATGACAAAGCATGCATACAGTACTTCTATTGGGTCTACAGACTTGTATCCAGTGGCCTCATTTAGGGTTATCTGTATCCTTTTGGGGAAAAGACAGAGGTAAAGATCTCCCTGCTGGCTGCTGTGGCATTTTCACATTCTTTGCAGATAACATCTCTTGTATTCATTTATAATTACTGTAGATGCCTCTTGGGCAGAGTCTTGTGAGATTACTTGGGCAGCATCTTGTGAAACTACCTGGGATACTTTTGAGCTTGTGGAGATTGAAGGAGTAGATAGGGATCTTTCTGGCATGACCCCACCAACTGTGGGTTGGATTTATCACTTGTCTAGCTCCTTCAGGGAGCAATGCAAGGTGGGTGCAGCTGGATTCAAGAGTTGTTTGATATCTCTTTGAAGAACCAAGTGGTTCTGTCTTCCTTGAATGAGGCAGTGGTGCATCCCTCATGAAGAGGCCATATCTTG